TTAAGCATTTACTCATGCTGTTCCAAACCCAAATGACTTACACGTGCGTGTGTGTGTATATATATATATATATATATATATATATATATACACACATTTTTTTTCTTTGTCTCATTTTGCAGTAATATTATTCAAACATCCAAAATCCCTCTCCCCATTCATTTGTATTGTAAGAAAAAGAGCTTCCCGGACACTCCAAAATAATTCCTTTTGTGTTACACAGAAGAAAAGAAGATCAAATGGGTTTAGAATTACACAAGAAAACCTTATGAAAATAAATAAAACAGATCTACTTATTATTTCGTACTGTTTAAAACTAGGGTTGACAATAGAATAAAATAATTATGATTAATCTCATTATTTATAATAATATGAACATTTCAGTGTTAAATCTTGTATAAAACATATTTAATTAATATCTTAAATTAACATTTTAGTTGTGACTGTCCTACAAAATACATTTTGTAAAGTCTTTGTACATTTTCTGCAACTGTTCTGAGGGTCCCTAGATCACCATTTGAAAAACTTTTTTTTAAAAACCTTTTTAAACCTTTATGGCTTTTCATATTTTTTTTTAAATATCATGGAAAAAACATAAATGCTACAGGCCTTCAACCACAGATAGTCTGGGGGAAAGGATTATGGTTTAAAACATCTTTTATATAATTGACAAAAGTATGCAACACCAGCAGGCATTGTGTGAGAAAAGAATATTCTGCCCATTCAGTGAATGAATAAGTAGATCCATTGAATTAAACACAGTGTTCTTTATCAGAAATCTACAAGAATTGCCTGAAATGGAGTGTAAGAATTAAAAAACCACAGCCACTAACCAATATATATGGGTTATGTAATATTTGACAGGATATATTTACAGGATTCCCGACCTTTCAGGAGAATTCATACAGACAAGTCAAAGCAAGATCCAATTATGTCAGGAATAAAACAAACACAGCTGCCCACAGTAAGCATGGTTGTACCATATGAGAAAACAGATGTGCAGTCATCTGTCAATGAGCTGAATCATGATCCAGATTGCTTGGACTAGCCCAGACCTCAAACCACATAAATGCTGTGTGCAAGTAGTTTGATCGAAGAATAAGAACCTACTTACAGATTTATTTACAATTTCCCACCAACACAATTCAAAATAAAAAATGAAAATTTCCTGATTATGTACTCACCCCAAAGCCATCCAAGATGTATATGACTTTCTTTCCTCAGACAAAGAGAAATTAAGGTTTTGGAGGAAAACATTCCAGGATTTTTCTCCATCTAATGCAAGTGAGGGGTGCCCAACGTAGACCATTTTTGATGGTTCGAAATCCGTATCAGTTTCAAATGGGTCCACACAACCCCAGCCGATGAATCTAGTGAATCAGTCGTTTTCAGAAGAAGATAAAACAAATACTTTTCAGCTACAAATGCTTGCCTTGGTCCAGCTCTCCGAAGCTCGTTCACAATACAGTTGAGTTCACGCCCTCTTGCGTGACGTTTACATGTTGGGATGGTCACGTGACGTAGGCCACACAAGAGTCATTATGTGATATACTGTATATCCAATAATCAATGATATATGTGGGGATCTCACTGTTTTAAAAGTACATCTCTCTTTCTCAATGTATCCCAGGTGAGTATTGGATAGACCCGAATGAGGGCAGCGCTAGAGACGCCATCCAAGTGCACTGTAACATGGAAATGGGGGAGACCTGTATACCTGCCAACCCTGCCAGTATCCCACGCAAGAACTGGTGGACTTCACGCTCCAGCTTACCAAAACCAGTCTGGTTTGGAGCAACCATAAACCGGGGAACTAAGGTTAATGTCATTACAATGGTGACCATCAAAAATATTTGCCCTGTATATGTCACTTAATTGTATATTTCCTACTCTTATTTTACTCCTCTTCAGTTCACCTATGGAAACAAAGAGGCATCAGCTAACATGGTTTCAGTCCAGTTAAGGTTTCTCCGTCTTCTGTCAAAAGAAGCAGCACAGAACGTCACCTACCACTGCAAAAACAGTGTGGCCTATAAAGATGAGAAGAACAGCAATCTGAAGAAGGCTTTAGTCCTAAAGGCTTCTGATGGACAGGACATCAAGGCATATAGTAGCAACCGTCTGAAGTACACCGTCATCACCGACGGCTGCTCTGTATGTTTCGATTCTTTTTAGACTTCTTTTAAAAGCATAAAAAAAAAATATTCTTCTAAACTTTTGACTGGTAGTGTACATTTACGCTAATAAATACAACTAATTTAAATACTGAGTTAATACTGAGACAGTGATACTGAAAAATGTAGCTGTTACTGTAAAAGTTACTATTATATTTGCTATATAAGTTCACTCTGACAATTACACTTGTGCTGTTTGGTGCTAGTAGGTGTTCTTACATGACTTAAAGGGATAGTTCACTTTGAAATACATTTTTGGTATGTTTTAGTTTACCTCAAGGGCATCCAAGATGTAGGTGTCTTTGTTTCCGCAGTAGTTTCAATTTTGATATTTTTAGGTCAAACCGTTCTTGTCTGTCAGTCATATAATGCAGGTCTATGGTCACCACCTCAAAGAGCATGCACAGAGAAGTCCAAATTAAACATGATTTAATGACTCGTAAATGTAAGTACACATTGATGGCCTACGACACGAAACGAGCGGTTTGTGTGAGAAAACGAACAGTATTTATATCGTTTTTACCTCTTGTAACCACAGCCACGTCCAATTGATCTGAGGGCGCCGGCGCTTCGGTCTGCGCAAGCGCCGGAAGTGATCTCTCGCGCGTGTACGTCACTCATTGTTTACACAGAGATTTCGGAAGTTTTACCTTTCACTGTGAAGATCTAAACATATTTAGATATACAGGAAATCGCAATGGAAGACGATTTCGGTATATCAACAGACAACGTTGAATTTTTTTTGCAACCGTGCGAGAGATCACTTCTGGCGCTTTCCGGCGCTTGCGCAGGCCGAAGCGCCCGCGCCCTCAGATCACTTGGACGTGGCTGTGGTTACAAGAGGTAAAAAACGATATATAAATACTGTTCGCTTTCTCACACAAACCGCTCGTTTCGTGTCTTAGGCCATCAATGTGTACTTACATTTACGAGTCATTAAATCATGTTTAATTTGGACTTCTCTGTGCATGCTCTTTGAGGTGGTGACCATAGACCTGCATTATATGACTGACAGACAAGAACGGTTTGACCTAAAAATATCAAAATTGAAACTACTGCGGAAACAAAGACACCTTCATCTTGGATGCCCTTGAGGTAAGCTAAAACATACCAAAAATGTATTTCAAAGTGAACTATCCCTTTAAGTATCCAAATGTATCACACAGCGGATCAATATACATTCTCATTGGTAGTTTCCACATCACATTCTTTTCTCTTTTGCATAAAATCATCACTTTGTTAAACTTTGTTGCATCGCTGTTGCTGGAAATCATCTCATCTCACTGAATGACTTGCGGTCATTTCGCTGCTGCAAATTGCTGCGAATCAGTGTGAACGGTCCTTAAGTTAGTTAGTCCCCAATGCTGATGACAATGTCAAGATTAGCATTCAGTAGGTGTTTTGCAAAAATGCAAAAATGCTACCAATGGAAAAACTCACGATTCTCCCTCTTTGTTCCTCTCTCCAGAAACCCAGCGGTGAATGGGGCAGGACTGTCTTTGAGTACCGCACACAAACACTTTCACGGCTCCCGATTGTGGACTTGGCTCCAGTGGATGTAGGTGGCCAAGATCAGGAGTTTGGCATTGATATCGGCCATGTGTGCTTCTCATGAAGTCAAGGATAAAAGCATCATCATTTGGACTGGAGTTCTCAGCCAATACAGTATTTATTGTCAAACGCCGTCTGTAAGGGCCTTGAGGGATTTCTGACCTTTATTTCATGATTATTCATGATGATTTCCACTAGCCTGTGGTGTATGAGTGCATGAGAGACTATATGGACCCTTTAATTTATACGCCATGTGTTATTAAAGTATGTGAAAACATTGATTTGAAATGAATTCAAAAAGTCATGTTTTACAAATTTGACGGCCTTGAGTGTCTAACGTGTATGATGTTATGTTGATGTTGTTCACCCTTAAATTGCAGTCATTTCTAGGGGATTATGAAGGTTAAGTGAATCTGGATGAGATAGATGAGTTTGTTTGTGTAGTATTAAACCTACTTTTATTCAGGGTTGCATTCAATTGCCCAACAGTTCTCTTCCCAATCCCAATTGACCATACGAGAGAGAAATCAAACTGTTGGACGGATGATATACTTAATTATTAATGAAAACTCTCACAGAAGCCAATGTTGGTCTCATTAAAAGACTCATTAGCCAACAATACATGACACAAAGAAACTCTTTATCCATCTTTTTGTACTCTTAAGAGGGGAGAGGGGCAACAATTGTTTGTAATGAATTCCAGATTAAATATTTGAAATCCTTTTCAACAGAACTCAATTGAGTTTTATCATGAATAAAATGTTAGTAGAGAAACTGTTAGCTGCTGTTGAAAAAAGAGCACAAAGCTAATATGGTGTGCTATCAGTTTTCATTTATTCACCATTATAGAGCAAGTGATAAGCATTAAACAAATATTAAAACAGCCATCAATGAAAGAGAAAAGAATTGGAACATCTGGAAATATAAATGGAGAACCTTAACAATGATTTTGCTGAACATATGAAAGACCCACCAGTTTTTGATAAATCTATAACCCTGATGATGTTTAGTATATTAATATATAACCTTTTAGTCTTTGCACCATTACAACATGAGCAACCTCCTCAGCAACAACTGCAACCACAAATTATTATAATTTGGCAAGGATTCGAAACACAACTTGGCCGTGAATGAATGAATCTTTGCATTTCAAAACACCATCTAAATTTGGTCCAAACTCTAGAAAAATTCTAGAGAGAGCTAGAGCACATTTTGTGTCCATCTCTCTTTTAACAATACCCGTTTCAAGATTAAGAAGTTAAAATACACAAATCATCAATCTTAAATGTTGATTTTATTATATAAAAATAGAAATGACCTCTACAGACCTTTTTGAGGCTCCTGCTACATTTCTTTCAAACTCAATTCAAAATACAAATATTAAATATGTGATTTTTTTTAGGGTTTTGTGGTCAAGAATCACAGCGTGTATAAAAATGTATTTCCAAAATCAGCATCGGCTGTCCACCTGATCCAGGGAAAACACCGTCCCCTCTAGAGTCAGTCCCATTTGGAACCCCTCCTGCCAAAACAACAAATGTGAAATATGAACAAAATTGTGAGCTCAATAAAAACATGTAACAAGGTCAATGAAGAAGATAAATTCAAGTTTAGATAAGACTATATAATAACTTTCATTATTAACATTACAACAAACAAAACATCATCACATTGTTGAATGCTAACAGATCAGTAGTTCATGTACATTCAAAATTGTTATCTTTAAAATTTGAACCACTACAGTAAAACCGGCTTCACATTGCACACATAAGCAGCACAGTGTTAATAAAGTGTTAATTCTTTATTTTGTTTCCACTCAACAGCCTAAGAAAGCCGTTCTTCTGCATCTGTGGTTGTGAAATGTTGACTTTCATGAATGCAGCCTCAATACATGCAGCCAATAGGAATGAGTCTCTATCAGTGCACATTTTCGATGATTTTTATTCATGTTACACATTGAACAAATAAGTTTAGGAAAACTCTACATCCAGCTGCATGGTACTGCTTATGTGTGTGTAAACAAAAATTTCAATTAGTCTGAAAAAAACAATGAGATGGCATGCATGCAATAACCAGCACCACAAAGAATCCGCAACTGCAGAACTAAACGCCTGTCATTGATATTGTTCACCCCAGCCCTTTGTCTTGGATTACTAATAAGGCTATACAACTTTCAGCTCAATTTTAATATATTTGACCATAAATCCAATTCTGCACTCTCACAAAATAGGTCCAGAAATTTGGGAAAGAAAAAATTCAGCAGATTCCATGTTGGTCTAACATATTAAAGGGTTAGTTCACCCGAAAATGAAAATTCTGTCATTAATTACTAGACGTTCACACAAATGAAGATATTTTTGATGAAATCTGAGAGCTTTCTGTCCCTCCATTGAAGGTCTACCACTTTGACGTTTCAAAAAGTTCATTAAATAGATCGTAAAACTAATTCATAGTCAAATTTTCTGAAGAGACGTGATCACTTTATATGATGAACAGATTGAGTTTAGGCTTTTATTGACATATAAACATTGATCAGTGAATTGCTATACAAGCGAGAATGAAACTTATTGGTTCTTGCACGTCAAGCGAACATGCTAAGTTGATGAATGTTTATATGTAAATAAAAGCCTAAATTCAATCTGTTCATCATTTAAAGTGATCGTTTCTCTTCAGAAAATTTGGACTAAACCGCGCAATTCATGTGGATTAGCTTTATGATCTCTTTATAAACGTTTTGAAGGATCAAAGTGGTAGTTGCGTAGCTGTCAATGGAGGGACAGAAAGCTCTCAGATCTTCATTTGTGTTCCGAAGATGAATAAAAATCTTACAAGTTTGGAATGACATGAGGGTGAGTAATTAATGACAGAATAATTATTTTTGGGTGAACCATTTAGACACAGCAAAACCCCATACATAGATACAGCAAAATTCATGCTTGTAAATCTTGTAAAAGCATATCAAAATACTAGACGATACACTGTCAGGTGAATCACATATGAAAGTGTACAAACCATCTCTGCCGCTGAGAGTTTGGGGTGAAAAGAGAGATGGAGATAATTGAATTATTCAGGATTACAGGATTTACAGACACAGGAGTGCAAACGATAGGGTCTAATAATCTCATAACAGGTGGGATGTCCTCAGAAATGGAAACTTCCATAATCCTCTGGATTATTGGAATGGGAATTAAAAACAGTCTATAGTACAGTGGGGTGAATGCTGCCAAATACTCGTATGCTTTGATCTTTTAATACCGTCTGACAATCATGTTAGCTGCTTCTACTGTTTTTGTTTATGACACATTATTGACATTTCTCAGTTTCCCATATCTAGAATTCTGTCATAATCCCATTCAAACCATATGAGCAACATGTTCAAAATGATTCACACCTTTTTTTTTATAGCATTTAAATTTGGAGATATATTGCACATTACGTCAGAGACCAAATTAAAACCTTATGATACATAAACAAGTAGTGCTGTTGTAGAGTTATAGAGAATATAAAGATTGTGCTTGAATTCTACAATATTTAGATGCATGATATTATATAAATAAAATAGCTTTTACAGAATAAAAACATGCATCATTTATTGGTACCACATTGATTATCCACCAATATATATTTTTAAATATAACATGAACATAATCATCATATTGATCGGAATTTTAATATTGTTGAATAGGTAAATGAAAGATTAAAAACTAAATAAATGTGCTTACCTGCATCTCATCCAGTTTGGACTGGATGTCTGGGGTGAAGACAGTAGGTCCACAAATGAACGGATCAAATGGTTCTGCTCCAAACAGGTCTATATCTACAGCACAACCAGACAAAGTAGTAAATAATTTGTCATTTAGCAGAAGTGTGCAATAGTTCATGGATCACCCCTTGCAAAGTTTGAATCATAAATCTATATTTATAAATAGAATATTATAAATGTATATTATATATAATTAACTCATTAATAAACACATTTGTCAGTGCATTGGAACTGAAAGTGAAATTCACAACCATTTACTAACAAATGTCTTCATACAACATCTATACACTCTGGCTCCATTTGTTTTCAACTCAAATGGACCATTTTATGGAGAAGCATATGACATTAGCAATTATGGATTTTGCCTTCAGGTTTTTGTAAACATGACACATTCATCTAAGCGAGACAGCACAAATAAGGAGCCCCCCCCACCTCTGTCTTTTGGAAGCAGGTACGGAGATGAGATGCCGTTACAATTCAACCGTCTTGTTATTGGAGACTCAGGGGTGAATGGAACCATATCAAATATGTCAGTGGAGGGCGCTCTAGCTTGTATGCTTCCAGCCTAATAACATTGACAACAAACATATCATTATAAAGGCATAAGAACCAGCCCAAATGTAAGATCTGACTTCATTTGTGTGATAAGCATTTAACTGTAAATTCTGTGTATACATTTTATCACTATGTGTTCCTTTTTTATTTAGGTATTTAGTTCTTATTTATTTGCAAGAAAAAAGAAAGCAGTGGTTCTCAAAAGGTGGGGAGACTTCCCTAGTTTTAAAATCTTTCAGCATTCAAATTTACCACATTAATGGCAGACGCGACAACAAATGAGGTTTGTGTGAGTTTCTTCTATGTATGGCATTCACTGAGTAGTGGTTATGTAAACAAATTCACCCTTCGCCGGGAGTTTGATTGACCAATCATAACGTTGAATCCACCATTTTGTACGACAAACAAATCAGGAGAGTTAGAAGATTAACGTCGGTGGACTTTAACTTGAAAAATGGTGTATATTGACGTCTTTCCGCGATTGAAACAACATACCTTCTGATGTTCATTCATTTTGTGCTATAGCTACCAGGAAGAGATGATTGGTTCACGTGCCGCTTGAACCGAGGCGCTTCAGACAGCACCAAAACGGTATTTATTGTTAGAATTTCTTAAAAAAAATTACAATTTTAAAGCTGAGACTTTGGGCCCTATCATACACCTGGCACAATGCGGCGCGACGAAAGTTATTTAAAGGGCACATTAGTAATATGCGTCTATAGGCGGGTACACAACACACATACACTCTGCTTATTACACACACAGGGAGGGACGCGCAGCAGCACAAACATGCCAAATATTAAAAATAAAAGGTTTACAATATAAACGATTATTATTGTGTACATAAAGATATGGTGGGAATCGGCTTGTCCCATAGATGGTCTGCTTGTGCGCTTTAACCTCGCGCACGAGCAGATCCGTTTCCTCTCTGGAGAAGCGTTCTGTCTTTCCGCTTGCAAATTCCACCATGTAAATAGCAATCCGCCATGGCACAAGTGCAACTGGCTTTTAAAGGGAATGGGAGATGAGACTCTGATTGGTTTATTGCACGTAAAGCCCAAAACACACCCATTACTCTTTAAGAGAATAGGGTCAACCCTTTTAGACCATGCAACGGGCGGGTCGACCATTTTTCCCGTCGTTAAACTAGCAAAAGTGGATTCGAACACTTAGACCATGTGCTTAGATCGTTAAAATAGGGCCCTTTGTTTCACACCAAAAGTAACATGCTCTGTCTCGGCTGTCGGGCTGTTGTCAGTGTCTTCTATGCTCCGCAATGTATTTTGCACATTAAAAAAAAAAAAAAAAGTATTATTTTAGGCCAAATATTTATTTCATATTGTTCCTGCAAAGTAGTGAGGTGAATTCAGGTTGATTGATCACCCTGAATTTACCCCAACACATTTTATTGATTCGATTTATTAACTCTCAAGACAAAAATAACAAAATCATACCTACTACAGGGTTGTCCAATTCAGCTCCTGGAGGGCCACTGTCCTGCAAAATTTAACTCCAAACCCCAAATAAACCCACCTGAACATCTGACGTAACGTACTGACGAAGGGAACGAGAGGTTGCGTCATCAATGGCGCTATGGGGAAACACCTTTCTCCTAGAATACTGAAGCCTAATTGGCAAATCCAATGGCGTTCAAATCGCCACTGGAGGTGAGGAAGGCTCCGAGAAGTAGGAGGCATGCGGGCACTGAGCCGGCGTGAGCTCACCACAAAACTCGTCATGCTCCACATCGTGATACCACTGCTTCTTTCTCAGCAGCTGGGCTGGAGGGCTATCTGAACCCAGAGAGTACGCTTCTGGCCTCACAGTGAGGGCAATTAGAGCCCTTGACGGTTGTCTTCTGTGTGGGCACGGCCCAGGCAAAAAACGCACATCTCATGCTCATCTGGAAGTTCAATAGGTCCCGCGCAGACGGAACAAGGCTTCAAGGGCATGTTTGTTCGCCGCAACGCACAAGGGTATCTCGTAGACTTAAATCCACTTTTCGGCAATGACGAATGACAGATATGTCACAGTATTGGCGCCCAGCACAGCATTACGGCGCGTTCCCCTCCCTGATTCGCACATTTGAACGCCATTGGACACTGCGATTCAATGTCATTATGCCAATCAGGCTTTAGTATTCTAGGTGAAAGGTGTTTCCCCATAGCGTCATCGATGACACAGCGTTAAAAGACCATTTTTGAAGGGGTATCAGCTAATCAAGGTCTTACTAGGCATACTAGAAACTTCCAGGCAGGTGTGTTGAGGCAAGTTGGAGCTAAACTCTGCAGGACAGTGGCCCTCCAGGACCAAGTTTGGACACCCCTGACCTACTATACCAAATATTACTATACCAAAATGTTTCATTAAAAGGTTTTTCACAAAAACATTCAACAAAACTTCTAATTCTTCTTATTATTTAACATTTGATAATGAGCGGGATGGTGTGTAGAGGTTTTTATTTTAAAAGTGTCACCCCCCAAAAATTGAGAACCACTGCATTAAAGAAATAGTTCATCCATTGCTATATTGCATGAATCATACGGACTGTCCATATGATTCACTGTCATTATATGGAAAAGAGCAGCCTGGACATTCTGAAAAATAACCCAATCTGTCTATCATCAAAGAAAAAAAGCCATTCAGGTTTGGAACCACGTGAGAGTAAATGATAGATTTTTCATTTTTGGACGGACTATCCCTTTACGAATTAAAGATTCAAATTAAAGAGTGTAAGATTGTATAGTAACTAAGTGAATCGCATGCAAAGTGAACCGTGTTATTTTTGTGTACGAGACATTTACACGAGGTCGTGGCACGATGTAACCACTTGTGGACTGTAATTGGGCGGGCTTAGCAGGAGGAGGGGTGAGCAAGCTTGCTGATTGGCTGGAATCGGGTGAGCTGACAGGCGTTAGAGTGACAGAGGAGATCTCTAGGCTGGACAGTGATGTGACATCACCACACCAGGACAAGGCAGACGGCCTCTGCAAAATGTACAGCTCATTAGAGACATTAACATGCAGGTGCTGAAAAAGGGCACTGGGGGTTGCGGGGGAGAGGGAGAGAGAGAGAGAGAGAGAGATAGATTGGAATAGAGAAAAGGGGAAAACATGTGGTGTAGGTAGATAGGAGAGAAAAACAAACATTCTGATGAACTAAAAGAGAGCAGAATCATTGAGATTGGAGCAGCATCCGACTGGAATGATAAGCAAGACTCATTTCCTACTGAACGTACTGGTGAGCAGCGAGGATCCATCAGCTGATTCTCCAGCTCTTTAAGCTTCTTCTTCAGTTTTGAGTTCTCCATCTCCAAATCCTGAATCTTCAATTAACATAAGCACATATTGAATAAAAAGATTCACATTTTCATTTGTCAATCACATGCAAACATTTTACATAAGTCTTTGGCATTCGGGACAACCCACAGCCTGCTCACAGGATTATTCTGGTTAGATTTGTCTATCTTTAGTCTTATTTACACTTCAAAGAAAGCTGCACATAAGCAGCATACAGTATATTATGAAAAGGAGCATTTTTACAGATGTTGTAATGCAGCATACATTAAATGTATTTACACTGGAATCAAAATCAGGGAAGCAGTCAGCAGGCGGAAAAGACCGTTGTTGAACAAACATGTTTCATTTAAGTTTATCAACTTTGTCTTCGATATTTATTTATCCTAAAAAAGAGATAATTGTTTACATGTGAGCTCTGCTTTTATATTTCGGCACCTATATTAACAGGTTACAGTATTCAAAATGGCCACATAAGCCGTGTGGATTCACAGATTGAAATTGGCAAAATTTGTAGTAAGCCAGAATTAAACTTTTTAAAGGAAACCTGTTTATTGACAACAACCCAAATATCAGACCCACCCCCCTTTCCAAACCCTTGTGTGCACCAGTCTACAAAAAGTTTTTTGTAGAAAGCGCTGTCACATCCACATTTTCCACAATTTTTTTTCTGTTTCTCCCCCCCCAAATCAGTGCAAAACAACCGCAAGCCTTCCTCTATGTTGCTGTTTGTTGACATGTTCCTAAGAATCAACTCTCAAATTGATGGGTGTTTCTTTAACTGCGAGCCCTTTTATGTCTCAGGGGTTAATTTTGATAATAACTAACAACTTTTAACTCAAAGACATCATTTCATCATTTACTTTTGCCACTTTCCAGAAGACTTTTATGGATCCACTTTATTTCGCAACGCGGAAGTAAGCCTTTTTCTTTGAATGTGTGAGACTTCTGATTCATTAGCTGCTATAGGTAAATAACTACAACAATAACAATGTGCAGTAAATGGCAAAACTATTCACGCTACAAACCAGTGTTCATAATTATGACAATACATTAAAATATTAAGGTAAGAAATACCAGTTTACAATATCAAGCAGCATAACAAGCTCAAAATAGCTGGAAGAGGATTAGCTAGACGCATTCAATTTACAAAAGGCTGCACATGCATCCATCAAATAAGATGGATATTCTATTGTTTTACACTTGTCCTAGACCCACACTCAATAAAAAAATGAATAATTACATTTGTAAAGTCCCCCTGTGGTAAAAATCAATGTTTATATGTGGTGTTTTCAATATGCTTTAAGACAAACCATATGCAAATTGATAAGTCAACACCATTGCTGAGTATTTTCTCTTTAAATTTCAGTGAAAAAAAGACGTCACAAACAACCTTGTAACCAATCACGTCAACGTGTGATCATCAACGAGTGGATCTTTGAGCTGGTGTGAGTGAGTGGAGGTGGGGCTAATTTGCATATTCATAAAACCATGTATACTAAATGAGGCAAGGGTGTAGTTACATTCAAGCTATTCAAAGGCATGAATAATTTTTTTTCAAGGAAAAAACGTTTAAATATGTCATTTTGGTGATCAAAGATAAGTTTTAAGGCATATAATTATTGACTACAGTGGGACTTTAAAACTAAGCTGATTTAAACGATGTCTGAAGAAAACGAACAAAATCAAGATAAAGATCAAGCATTTGTTTATTGTGTCATTTCTGGTCAGACTGTAATTTTATTATGCAAAAAGTTTTAATTTAGTGTATTTAGGATACACATAATCTAGCAATAAAAGTAACCTCAGCAAGACAAAAGAGTCTTTAATTTTCACCACCATAATTTCCATCAAAGAAAATTCTTAAACACAATATAAAATCGAGACGTTGGGAATTTTTTTTATTGCATTAAGAAATAAATGACAAAATTCTTTTACAAAATAAATTAGTGAAAGGTGTGTTTAGTGTGGCCAGAAGTACCCAAGAATCATTCTGCTATGAGCGTGTTCGTGTGAGAATGAAGAATTCTGGTATTACTGGTGTGCAGTAATCCATGAACATAATCTTACTCGTTTCTGAAGGTTTCCAATCTGTTTCCTCGTCTCTACATCTTTTCCACCAGACTCTAGGAACTTTTTGTAGGCGAGATCAAAGGCTTGTCCGATAGCAAGAGTGATCTCCTCCGCCTGGGCAAGATTTGCACACATTACAATCAATAAACAAACCAGGTTTCTACTGTATGTAACATTTGTTAGGTATCACAAGCTTATTTACTTACACATTTTTCACTGTCAAACACGTAACACAGGTGTTTCTTCGTCTCGGGTTCTGTACAGATAAAGGTGAAGATTCTTTTATCTGTTTTGTCATCTGCACAGAAGGACATTCTGTGAAGTTGGCAGTTATGCTGCATCTCCTGGAACAAGAAGGACAGTTGAACTGAGATGAAAGGCTCAATGAAATGACTGACCTATTTTGAAGCAAAAAGCAACAAATCGAAAACAGCCCAGAGGAGATTTTTTTTTTTTTTGCTCAGGGGTTTAAATTTTTAAGGCTCTTTCATGGCTTGGGCAAATTCATGTGTTCTCGTTTATGTTTCAACAATTAAGTTTATAACCTTTTTTTTCCCAGATGTTTCTCCCAAAATTAACCGACGAGAGAACAAATTGATAACATTTTTGACATTAGCATGTTTCACATGCATGAGAAGCGCTTATTATTTATACTTAGTTTTAAAAAAAATGATGTGAACGGGGGAGTTAATAATAATTTTATTAACTCATTACACAGAGACAAAGTTCTCGCTGAACCATTCATTTAATCTGCCCTGATATAACATATTGTAAGCAAAATTGCAGATGCTTCTCAGTGTATAAACGCAGGGACACTGGACCCTGCGATTTCACTGGAATGAAAAGTGATAAACTCGAGCATTTGTCTGTGCTCAAGAACATTATGTCGTTGCCTTCAGCCACTGATAACAGCCTCAACGACCTCTCATAAAAGCATTCAAAATAACATATTCCAGCATGAACTAAATAAAACTGCTCAACAACTGGAGATGCTTCCTCGAAATAGATACATTCCTGCTGAGAGCTGTTTCAAAAACTGATGAGGATATGTCCTATCCAGGGGCGTCATGCAAGCCAAAATTCTGGGGGGGGGCACAATCTGAGACGTTGCAATTGTTTTCTGACGGGTGATATGGATCATGTTAGGAGGGGTCAGGGGGGTTTCTCCCCCTGAAATTTTTTTAATTCTGGCTGCGAAACATACTATTTCAATGCAGTTTGGGAGGGACAGAAATACCTTAACGGAGCTATAGCAGCAACCCTCCTCTATCTGAGGACTAAGTTAAAGTATGTGTATCTGTGCATTATAAGATGTTTTGAAGGCCAAAAAAACTGGATACAAACAGCTTTAAAACCATGTCACGCAGCTGATTATTTTTCTCTCCTCATCTCCATCACACTTTTTCTCTTTGTTTTTCTCTTGCCCTGTCTCTTCCCCTCCTAAAGTTGAACTTTGACTGATAGGCTTTTCATTTTTGTCTGTCAGTGAAGAAAGTAAATATAGGGTCAACTGATAGGTTGATTTATGAATCATTTTCTCAGACGAGTTACTGAAAGCTACTAGGAAAGCTAGGTAGCCTAACTAAGTTTATTAAATTCATTCACAGTACATATTCATTATTGATCTTATACCTAATACAGGGCCGTAGACAGGGCTTTATAATCAAAGAGGTTCTAAATTTGAGGTGGGTTCAAATTTTTATTTCTCTGATATGTGCATTTCAAGACGTTTGAAGGCCAAAAAAAGGATAAGAAATAGCCTTAAAACCATGTCAGCGGACAGTAGATTATTTGTCAATACCTGCTCTCACTTCTTATCCATCACTCTTTCTTTTTCTCTCAGTCTCCTGATCTTGCCTTCCCCTCCTAAAGCTGAGCTTTTTTAATTTACTTAAGGCTACAAATTGTACTATATTAATTCTCAATATGTATACATTCATTATTAATCTTGTGCCTGACAAGGAAAACGGCTTTTCCCCTCACAATGACAGTAAACTAATTATTAGCCATTACGAGTCACGTTACATAGGCCTATTTTCAGTTCATTATGGCGAAATTAGACAAAAGTATATTCGTGTGCCTGATTATTTTTGTCATTCGTTTAACATTTATGAACTAAAAAAACTGTCAAATATGAAATGTTTAGTTTAGCAACTTACATCTCGCACTTGACTGTACACTGAAGCGTCGAGTGAGTCTAAAATTCGCGCTCAGCTTCTGTGAGCATAAAGCCCGCCTCCTTTGATTTCATTGGCCATCTCAAATATTCTGACATTGACGAGCAGTGACAGACCAATGAGGCTCAGATGAACACACACGCGCGCGCACACACACACACACCCTGTCCTGTGTCCTCTGTTTCTGACGTGCGCTCTGCTCGGCGCCGCTGCGGATTGAAGATGAACAACGTGCTGAATCTGATTATAACAAGTAATTTAAATAAATTATCAGGGAGGAAAAATCTGAGGGGGCACGTGCCCCCTCACTTTGAATGGGCATGACGCCACTGGTCCTATCCCTCAGCACCATCAATGACGTATGACTAACTGATTACAGTATTGACAATGTAAACCCAAATAAGTTGTGAAATGTTTTTTGAGGCAATCAGTTACAAAAAATGTGAATTTCTTAACTTAAAAATTTTCAAGCAAGCAGTTTTGTCAGATTTTTATTTTGTACTTGCACATTTTAATTGCTCTTATCTTAAAATATTTGAGCAAGCTAACTTATTAATTTCACTTAAAATTATCATGTAATAACATCTTAAATATTTTTAGTGGAAAGTCAGTAAAATACTTTATTTTAAATATCCAGAAATCACATCAATTTCAGTATAGTGTCCCAAAATCAACATCCAACTTTGACATGGACAAAAGCAGTGTGCGTGTGAAAGGGCAAAGTTTAATTGTAAATGAATTGTAAATGTAAATGATGATTGATACATATTGATGGAACAATGTGGGGTTTCACAGCTGATGTGACTCATACATCCTCTCTGTATGTTCTTTCTCATCCAGACTGACAAGCGCTAAAGCATAACAAACTCACTAAAGTCTAAGAAGGGATATTGCAATCATATTTCAAACGCAATTGCAAATTCACTTAGTATTAGTCTTTCCCCATTGAGAATTTAAAGCCCTGAAGCGATTCCGATGCCCAGAAGCGATCGCCCTTGGTTATTGCTGTGTTTTCCCGTGGTTGCGCATGCAGATGCTGCAAATATCTAGCAAAATATCTCACATTACACATGACAACAGAAACTATTTCTCATGTGAGAAGATTCTGCTTCTAGCAACCTGCCACCTTCTCTTTAGAAATGGAAAATAGGCATTTTTGGTCTTTGTTTTGTATTCTTAACAAGTTACAAATGTAACAGAGATAATAATCTGTTGATTTCTCACAATGTTTAAAAAATATTTTACAATATTTTAGTTGTTTGAGCCTAGATGTTCATGTAGTAATGTGATTTGAAAGAACATGTGTAATCACTAAAATAATATATAAAATATAATATAAATTCTTATATAATTTATAATACTTTTTAGAATTTTTGTTATTCTAAACAATGGCTAAAATGGGAGAAACATCCATTTATGATTGTACTAAAAACTACTGTTCACAAACATTGGCTCTCTTTTCAGATCCTGACAGAGCTATTACAGCTATTTTGTTTTGAGCAAACACATCTTATTGCATTTATCAAGTGCTAATTGGTTGCTGAATTAGTTACATTCATTTAGTATTGGAATGAGATAATTCTATCAGTTGTGCTAACTGAACTTAATTGGCATGACATTAAACAGTAAATGTTTGAAAGATAAGATAGCACATTTAATTTTCAGTTAAATTGCATTTCATTGTTCTGTCAGAGCAGGTGTGAGAATAATAGTGGGCTAGTTTATGGAGCTGAATAAATTGCTGTGATTGTTCGAGTCTAAAATAGGGTTGCCATGCATGAAATCACATCAAGTGGTTTTTATCTTTATTCAGCACTTGCGGTGACTGAACACAAGACAATTTTATATTTGAAAAAACCTACCTTAGTTTTAGGGTCCAATATCTTCACACCATATATAGAGATCTGAAGCTCCACTTTAGGAGTTTTCTGCCCCTCTGACTTCTTGATGTGCCTTTGAAACTGAGGGAGCAAAAGTGATTCAGCACATGCAGCGGAAGTACATACTATCAAGAGAAAAGCAGACCGAGCCGGAGGTGTTCACCATTTTTAAATGCTGCTGGAGAGCAGTAGAGCATAAGGTGAAATGAGGTGCTCAAACGCGTCTCTAGAGCAATACACCCTCAAGTCCAAAGCTGGACATAAATTGGGGAAAAGAAATATCGCCCAGGAAAAGGACATCATTACCATGCCCTTATTCTGTCACCCTAAAAATCCCACCAGGTTCTATTTCAGTTCTATTTTTAAATAACAACAAAGCAGTAAGATGATTCAAAAAGATTGTTACGTTTTCTAAAGAAAATGTGAGTGGTGTTTGCCAATGCAACACACACACACGACTATGGTAGGGTGTTGGGTAGTGGTCGCCTTGTTTGCATTGTTTGGTAGTTCATCAGCTGAAGGAACCCACCTACAACAAGTCTTTATGATATTCTTGTCCCTGAATATGGCTCAACTAAAAACGGAAAACTTGTAAACGTTTTTCCATTCATTTACACGACAACAGCATTTTGGGGGCCTGAAAACGCAGGCTTTTGAAAACTGGTTTCAAAGTGCAAGTTTTTTTGAAAATGATACCGTTATTGTCTCCATGTAAACAACAAAAACGTAAATTTGTGAAAACTATGATATCATGAGCGTGTATATTACGTGTTCAGCCTATAGGTGCAGAGTTTTCTTTACAAAGTGACATCGCCAACTACTGGCCTGGGAGCAGAATACAATGTTTTTAGTCATTTTCGCGGATCCGTGTGAAAAGGAATCATTTTGACAACGTTGTCGTCTGTATGCGAAAAACGCAAAGGAAAAACTTTGTCATGTAAACATACCCTTAATGTAAATTCATGGGATTACCAATTTCATCATTCATCAGGCGAAAATCATAAGCAGATCACCTAGAAAAATAATAGCACACCAACTCTTAACAACTAAGTTTAATTTAGGATGTTAATGTGCAGAATCACCTCTTTTCTCACATTGTCTGTAACTTTTTTTTCCCAAGGATCAAAGATCCGGTCTCTTTAAACCTGTGGTTCTCTACTGGTTTGGTCGTGGGACCCACATTTTCCCATGGTTATTAAGCCACGATCCCAATATTTAGGAATTTGAACCAAGCAAATTTATTTAAATTGTATGAATATCACTGATGAAAATACAGGTAAGGCTATAGCCTACAGGTCAGAATCAGTTCTTTCTTTTGGGAGACAATAACAAATTTGTCGTGCTCTTTGAAACTTTGCAGACCTTTTACATTTACAAACATATATATATATATAGTTGCTTTTGCCTTGTGTTAACTGGAACTCACATAACATTAAAATGAGGCTTGAGTCTGTTATATGAACTTTGGAAGTAAATTTACCCTTTTAAAATCTCTGTATATTTACATCTAATTATTACAGCCGTTTCTGCCCCAGGCATGAAGAACTGTGAGCACATTTTATGGCCTATAAGTGCACAGAATGGTGGAGTGCTGTGGACACACTACCTTCAGCTTCCTGACAGCCACACGGACCATGTCTGTCCCTTTAGGCTGCTCCACATCTGTGATTCCCAAGAACTACATAAAGCACACAGTAGACACAATGTCAGAATATTTAAGTAATATATTAACACTATATTTTGTTTGTAATGGTGACTGGGTTGATAAGCATACAGTATGTGTGTGTAGCATTCTGTACTAGATGAAAAATATGATGAAAGTCACGGTCACAGAAGGGGAGTTCAGTGAGCTGTAATAACAGTCTGTTCATGCATGCATGTGCGCACGCGCGCGCACACACACACACACACACACACAAACAAACACACACACACACACACACACAGAAACAAACACACACACACACACACACACACACACACACACACACACACACACACACACACACACACACACACACACACACACACACACACACACACACACACACACACACACACACACACACACACACACACTTTAGTACAAATTTAAACATCACTACATCCATCATACCAACAGCTTCAGTAGAGCAGGCTCATCTTTCACACACTTACACACACACATCTCACATCCCAATGTCAAAGACATGGTGTACACAGTGTGCATTTGCAGCGTAGGGCTGCTCCCACCCCCTTTTGTGTAGTACATACAGAAGAAGCAGAGAGAACCACAGGAACAAATAAGAAATACGTCTCAAACTGTACCTTTGCATTATACACAACATGACTTCTCACCAAGGCTTCAGGTGTGTGCATACTTGGTTTATCTGGATGTAAAAAGAGAATAAAGATGAAGAATTTAGGTGTAATGGCAGATGACTGATATTTCCAGTAAGTCAGTGTATATATATATATATATATATATATATATATATATAAAACTTGGAATGTTAAGAAGTTTTTTCAGAACAAAGTCGGATGCGGAATTATGCATTTCTATGGCAACACTATCAACAGCAAAATGTATATGCAGCGGTCACTTAATCACATGAATAGCATTTTTTGAGAACTCCGACTTGTGACCAAGAAGTCAGTGCATCTTTTCAGTGCTGCATTGCTGTGCAAAGATGGTCAGGTAATGTTTCATTTGTTAGATTCTTTTTTTTCTTTTTCTTTACTTTTTTTTGTGGTTGTCCTGAACTTTTTAATGCACCACAGGCACAGAAGCAGCAAAAATGTACAGTAGTTAAACAGGAATTGCAATCACTGGAAACTTTAAAGTTAATTATTGATTCTCCTGCACAGCTGACACTGCATATTTACCTCAGAGACCCCTTAAAACACTTAACATCGATAAGGGTCTCCTGTCTTTCAGTCCCCCAATTTCAGTGCTTTAAACATGAAACAATCAACACACCAAAGTCTCAAACACAAAGAAAGCCTTTTCATGTTTTTTGTTTCTGAGAATTTTTGAGAAAGGTGTGTAATGCGAGGATAATAACACTGTGATGCAGTACTTGAGATCAAAGCAATACACAGGATGAATAAATTAAACTGATTACTCTTGCTTTTCTTTATACTGCTGTTGTTGCATTTGTTGTCAGTTTCAATTATTTTCATGTGGCGATTACTCAGACCTCATCTTTTAATTAAATGTCTTCTTGTAGGCGTGTTAAACGTCCATGCGTATCACGTTTAATTAGAGCAGGGGGTTTAATGCTGTCCAGGGAGTTCAGGGACCCCCAGGCGGCTGCAAGGGGGAACTAGAGGGGTCGGCAGAAAAGTATAGAAAAAAATAGTGTAAATGATTACATTTTCTAAATAATTACATAATAATAACAGTCACCTTTATTTATATAGCGCTTTTTACAATACAGATTGTTTCAAAGCAGCTTTATAGTGATAACAGGAAAATAATGCAACAAAGTTTGTTTCGCCTGTACAGCAGATCTAGAAGAAAATAGCGTCATAGTCCAGCTTAATTAAGTTCAGTGATGGTTCATATTTGTTGTAAAAACGTTATTCATTTAGTTCACTTATATAGCCGCTCTGGAGAAAACAGTGATGTCATCGTCGATCAATAATATTGTTGAATATTAAGTGTCCCCAACTAAGCAAGCCAAAAGCCAAAGGCGACAAATGCGACAGTGGCAAGGAACCAAAACTACACCAGGTGACAGAATGGATAAAAAAAACCTTGGGAAAAACCAGGCTCAGTCGGGGGGCCAGTTCTCCTCTGGCCAACGGACGAACAGTGTATGATTATGATTCAGACAGCATTACAGGTCAGAAGTCAGATTGGATCGAGCATTCAGAATATTTATACAGTTCCATCTCGTTGAAGATTGGAGTCATCACGTCGGTATAAGGCATACAAAGATGAATGAATGATGAGTTTATAATGTCTCTAAATCCCAATTCCAATGTGTCTTTTTCATTATCTACATGGATATTAAAATCACCAACAATTAGGACTTTATCTGCAGCCAGTAACTCTGATAGAAAATCAGCAAATTCTTTGATAAAGTCTGTATGGTGTCCTGTATACAGTAGCCAGCACAAATGTCAAATGGGATTTATCATTTACACTAGATAGTGTTACATTAAGCACCAACACTTCAAAAAAATTATATTTGAAACTAGACTTCTCACTAATACTGAAGATATTTCTATAATTTACAGCAACCCCTCCCCTCCCTCTTTGCCTTTCAGACAAGGATCATGTTTATAACAATAATCTTGGGGGGTGGACTCATTTAAAGTAATGTAATAATCTGGTTTTAGCCAGGTTTCTTTCAAACACAGCACATCTAGGTTATAATATGTAATCATATCATTAACAATAAGTGCTTTTAAAGAAAGGGATAGAATATTTAGCAATCTGAACTTTTTCATTTGTTCAGCTGTATTATATTTGTTTTGTATTTGTTAAACATCAATTCAATTTTTACCCTTCAATGGGTTTGGGAGTTTTTTTTTAATTTTTACTAATTCAGGGAACAGACACAGTCTCTATTTGATGATATCTAAGTGAAAGAGTCTCTATGTGTTGGGTTTTATCTGACTTCTGTGACATGAGACAGCTAGCAGATGGTCGGTTTAGCCAGTCTGTCTGCTTCCTGACCTGGGCCCAATTTAGTAAAGCATTAGCGGCACTATTACAGGAGGGATGAATACCATCTCTTTTTATCAGGTCAGGTCTGCCCCAAATTTTTTTCCAATTGTCTACATTGTCTATATTATTCTGTGGACACCACTTAGACAGCCAGCCATTGAGTAACGACAGTCTGCTAAGTATCTCATCACTCCGGCGAACAGGGAGGGGGCCAGAGCATATTACAGTGTCTGACATCATTCTTGCGAGTTCACACACCTCTTTAATGATAATTTTAGTGATCTCCGACTGGCTAAGTCGAACATCATTAGTGCCGACGTGAATAATAATCTTAGAGAATTTACGATTAGCATTAGTCAGCACTTTTAATAATAATAATAAATTAAAGTTAAAAAATGACACTACCACTTTCTAAACACTGGTTAGAAATCATGAGATAGAGGTGTAACGGTATACATATTCGTACAGTAGTCTTTAGGTTTGGCACATGTTAAACTAAGTGTGCCGCAAACATCCTCGTGTTGGAAGGTATAGGCCGCTTATTCATTATGGTCCTTCTTGAGGGGTCCCCCTGGAACTCCAGGGACCTCAGTGAATGCCTATATTAATTATAAGGCAGGAAGACCCTGAACAGACAGCATATTTTTTTTCCTAGAGGGCTGACTGACATGTTGTGCTTTATTTCCTATTGCCCTTGTAGGTGTTGATGAAGAGCCGCCCCTCATTGTTCTTTCTTTTCTCCCTTGAGCTGGGAGTGAAATTGTGGGTTGATGAATTGGCTCTATGGGCAGTGCATGCTGCCGTGATCTAGACCTGACTCAGCAGGACACGGCTTTAGAAAAATGAAGAGAAACTGAAAAAACTGTGGGTGAGAAAGAGAGAGAGACAGAATAAAAGATTAAGGGACGCTAAAGGAGACCAAGAGAGACAGCGAGTAAGAGAGATGGCCCTTAGAGTATAAGAACTGCGATGCCAACAAAAAACAATAATATAATGAAGCTGACAAGCCGTCTAATCCTGTGCCAAAGAGGAGACGGCTCTCTCACTGTTTATTTGACACCTTTATAACACAGGCTCTTCAGTATTCACTGCCACGCAGGTACAAACACACACACACACACACACATACACATACACATACACATACACATACACATACACATACACATACACATACACATACACATACACATACACATACACATACACACACACACACACACACACACACACACACACACATTAATCAGATGAACTCTCTTACTGCACACCAATTAATGCTTGACAGAGAGAGGACGAATGCTCAGGCATTCCCTGCTGCAGTAATGTCAAAGCTTATAGCTTTGGGTGGCACAAATGTCTTTACCTATGAAACTTGATTTTAACAGTTTCTGAAGAAAATGTCTGTGCTTGTCTGTGCAAAACCTACTAGCACAATGAAAGAGTTGGACTGACAGTTTTCCCATTATCAGGGTTGGGAACCATAAGGAATTAAACGATTCCAGTTCTGATTTCAATTGCGCTTTACAATTAAATTGTTCTTATTGGTTCCATTAACAATTTTGGTAGTACTATTAAATATGTGATTTTTTTTTTTGTTGGAATTTCATATTTATACTTACTGCTCTCTAGCCTGACTTCGTCATACTCATATTCTAGTCAGAATGTGAGTCTGATACTGCTCCATAGGGCTTTGATTATGAGGCGTGTCTTAACCGAACCAGGAAAAAAACCCCTCTGCACTCAATTAGATAGACCTACAACCAATCAGAGAAACGCAGTAAGTGTTTTTTTTATGAGCTACGCAAAGTTGTCAAGAGAACTCAACTACACGCACGCTGGAGGAAGTAGTAAAATAATGAGTGTTTTACTTGGTCCTCCATGAGTGCGACCAAAGGAGAAACCACAACGACCACAGGGTTTTCATTGCGTCCCATCTTCTTAGCGACCATCGGAGCCAGCTGATAAAATAAACTTTTGCCGAATCCCGTAGGAAGGACGGCAAACAGCTTTCCGATCGACAAATGCCTTGATTGCAGTTCTCTGTTCGTCTTTTAAAATGATTGCACTGTCGATTTCTTTTACAACAGACGCAATAGCAGAATCTATTCATCTCAATTCTCCAGCTGCAGTCATCTTTGAGGGAAACCAGTTCAACCCAAGCGCTCTTTGATAACGTGATGATTACGTAACTGCAGATCATCTGTCCATCATCGTATAAAGCCTGCCCTGGCAATTTGATTGGCCCGACTAATTCTGAACCGATCATAATTACTCCTCAATGGATCGAGTCCAGACCGAACTTCCCGACCAAAAAATGTTGTGGGTGGGGTTCGGGGTGGCATCCAGGCTAACTGCTCTCAGTAGACTGCTGCCAAATTAAGAGATCATTTCAGATATACCAATTTAGAAATAAAATGTAATGTATACAAAGACGAGGCAGCCTAAATACAATCAAATTATTGTCCCTAACTATATATATTAAAGCTGCAGTCCATAGTTTTTCCTCTTTGTCGCCATCTCTGTTCGAAATCTGTAATTGCAGTTATTTGCGGAATTATTATTAATTATTAATAATTATTATAGCAAATAATAATAATTATTATTATCAACTTTATGTGGGTTGTGCCCCGGCACGGCACAGCGCGGATGAATCCAATGTTTTGAGGAGAGTGTGGGGCTGTCAGTCACCGCGCCGGTGTGGATACTGGCATTCAGAATCACAGATTATTCTTTTTGGAAGTATGACCAACATAAGAATTTTCACCGGAAAATGTTAATGCCCTTCAGATATTTATCCTTGTTTTTGCATGGGCCCGATTGCAGTCTCTTTTTTTTCTGTAGCCACGCCGAAGTCCTTTTGCATTTTACAACGGGTGAATCTCCAGTTGTCACTGGTGATTGTCATTTGAACCTTTCTGGATCCGCCATCAAATTGATAAGTTTAATTATATCAAGTGCTGTGAGAAGAGGCTATAAATCTCCACCTCCAACATCCTCACACGCAATATAGCCTACTAGCCGAGAGTCCTCCTTTAAAACTTAGGCAGGCAGTCAAGTGCACAGATAGAACCCAAGTGGTGCTCAAGCACCTGCACTTTTGGCTTCTGACTAGATACGTGCCCTTTTTTGACTTTTGTTATTGTTAGTTTTTAATGTAAAATTGGTTGGATAAATGGATGGATGGAATAGTTAAGCAATATCACATGAACAAAAGAGTGTTGTTTTCCTGAATATCAGTACTAATGTAGACAGAGGGTTCAGATTCTGCCTCCTTGGCTGTGACAGGGCAGACAAAGTCCACCGGACTTGAGGGCGCTGAGATCACCGGGCTCGGTGTGCCAGCCGCTCACACTGACCTCAGTTGAGGATCCATCAAACTAGCGGTCAGTCTGCTTCAGCCTGGGACTGATCCAGTGATCAAGGAGATCCAAGGCAAACCACGGCCATTGAAGCCTGGTACGTATAGAAGGTTAAAAGGTTCCCTAAATTAATGTTGTATCCCATTAGGGAAATGTTTTCAGCTTTGCAGATTCATGGTGTTCATTATTTTCATGGTGACTTTAACTTGATAAGTGTTGTTTTCTTCAATCATCTGATTATTAGAACACCAACCACCTTCACCACATTTTGAGCCAAGAAAAACCCTGGACACCACAACCTTTTACGGAGTCTCTACTTAGAAAATTGCTGAGTCATGCAACCTCCAAAATTCATTGATCTACTAGGTCGTTTCAATATTTTTAAATATTAAAGCAAGTATAAATGAAACCACATTGGTCCAATTAACAGGTTCATATAGTTCATTGGTCTTTGAACTAAAAAATAATAAACTTGGTGCAAAGGAGACAGGTCCATTTTTAGCTTTACCCTTTGCTTTTCCCTGTACCTCACTGAGCTATGAAAAGGTTACTGCACCGCAGGACATCTCTGTCCAGAGCTTAGGTCTAAAGGTCATTTTGTAATGCTCCCACCGATTAGCTGTCAGTTTAAACACAAATAATCATAAAGGGTAAGTATTCAAAACAACTGGTGAAAAGCAAGTGCATGGATGAGGTCACTTAATTGCATTAATTTAGATGTTAAAATACAACCTATTACCAAAGTTATTATCATGCCAGGCTTATTTATCTTGTGAACATGATTTCAGTTTCAACCTTTTGCAAAATAATAGCAAAACTTCACCTAAATAAAGGTCATCCCTGGTGGCAAATAGTCTGGGTTACGACTGTAACATCTGTTCCCTGAGAACAGGGAACGAGACACTGCATCGATGACGTTATTGGGGAATGCCCTCCACGTGAACCTGTGTCTAAAAAACTATCCAATCACAGCAATCGAACGTCACTACTAGTGCGACCCGGAAGCCCAAGGGAAATGGAGGCCTCAGCTATAAAGCCAACAACATTTTCACCTTATGACTTGAAAATTAATTCAAGGGGCCTAAATAACCAACCTAAAGACTAGCTGGAAATTTCTAGCAATAATATACAGCTCTGAAAGCGGAGACCTCAGCATTACTGCTTCCAACTCTCTCTTCCCAGAGAGACAGTTCTGACAACACCCAGAATATATCCACATGGGAGGCTTAGGAATAGCCTGCTACCTATGCTGCTATTTATTTTACCCTTAACAACCACTAGCATTATCGCCTAATGCACAGGCGGGCCTAGGCTACACGACTCTTGTAGAAAGAGGAGGCCAGTACACGGGAAAAACTAGACCTTACAGAGATAAGCTGTAGATGATATAACTCTAAAGAGCCTATGCTCAGATACTGAGGGACTCTGGACGAAAAAGCTTCTAGTAGATCGTCTCCAACAAACTCCAAACTCCTCTGCGACCTACTCCTTGTAGGAGGAGGAAGAGCGCGAGAGGCGACGCTGAACCTCTGGCCCTGTCTCCGATCCTCGAACCGGGATGGGCCAGGCCCCCCTGGTTGTCTGGGTGGATTCGTGCCGCAGCGCAATGCAAGATTTGAATGCAGCCAAGCGCGCCTTCGCCTATCTGAACTTTTCCACCACCGTCTCAACGGAGGCGCCGAAAAGTTCAGATGGCGAAACCGGGGCATCGAGGAGAAAACCCTTTTCTTTCTCCCCGATGTCAGCCTGGTTCAGCCACAGATGTCTCTCCATGGCCACCATTGCTGCCATCGACCTTCCAATCGAGGCACCGGTTTGTCTGGTGGCCCGAAGAGCCAGATCTGTAGTGCGGCGCAGCTCGTCCACTACGTCAGGGGAGAGACCCTACCCCTGATCCAAATCCTTCAGCAGGTCGGCTTGGTATGCCTGTAACACAGACATTGTGTGTAAGGCAGCCCCAGCCTGACCTGCTGCCGCGTATGCCCTGACATTCAAGCGAGATGTCATCTTGAGTGGCTTGGAAGGCAGGACCGGAGCTTTTAGTGCCGATGACTCTTCAGCAGCAAGATAGAAGCGAATGTCTCGTCAATTGGGGGCATCGACACATACCTGTGTTCACGCATCCCCTCGACATCAGCGTAGTTTGCTCACTGCTGACGATGGATGCGTGCAGAATATGGGTTCTTCCATGCCTTCTTGATCTTAGTATGCAGATCAGGAAGGAATGGAAGGCTCACAGGAGCTGGGGAGTTATGGCCAGAAAAGGAACCGCTCATCCAGCCTGCTGCGAATGGCTCCTTCCCTCACGTGCTCCTCATATTCTGCGCAATAAGGTCTCTCAAGAGCTGATCGTGCATGCTCTTTGCCCAAACAGTAAACGCACAAGTTGTGTGTGTCATCTGGTGTCAGAAACCTGAGACACGGATCCACACACTTCTTGAAACGCTTATCACTTGCCATGATTGTTTTTACCTTTTTCAGGTGATTGCAAATCAGACAAAACAGTCCCTGAAGACGAAAAGAGGATGACATGTTCTCTAGGCAACCCTTTTATACTTCCGGGTCGCACAAGTAGTGACGTCATAGGCTGTCGCCGGTCAAATTTGATTGCCGTGATTGGATAGTTTTTCAGACACCGGTTCACATGGAGGGCGTTCCCCAATAGCATCAGCGACGTTCCTTTTCGAAAGGGAAACACTGTGTTCCACCAAGGTAGTTTCCACTGGTCATCTTAATTTTGATAGTTTTGGAGGAGTTTTGGTCCGTCAGGGATATTTAAACCAGCTAAAAGCAGTTAACCAACGAAGAGCAGATAACCTCATGCTTGTTTTTAATTTGTTACAATTAAAATTTATAAATAAAATTTATAAAAATAACTTGCAGAATATTTTCAATATTTAAAGCAAGTGTTTTTTTCATTTGTAAAGTAACGCCTTAAAAATCAGCACACCTTTACCACAATTCTACATATCCATAACACTATAAGCACTGATTTCCTGATTCAATTCTCATTCGTAAACTCCTGATTTAGTAACATTTTTATTTAATTACCTGATTTGAATATTTCAGTTACAATGTCACAAATGTTTCAATAATTACATAATCACCTAATAATGCACTGTGGCACATTCCAGGTTCATTTATACATTGGATTTTAGAATTGCAAGTTTAAATTTTGGTGGGAAAATATTAAGGTCTGTGATTAATATTAAAGAGACTTTAACGTTTTATTCAACAATATGAGTTCCAACTGAGCTGCAGGGGGAAAAAAAGTATCTAAACATGGATAAATTCTTTAACAGTTTAAGAATTTTTATGTACTGGGGAGGCATGAATCATTCAAACTCATACAGTATGCGTTTATGCCTAAAAAAATTTTTTCCTTTTGAACCGTTTGTCATTAATAGGGCAAATGGTGCAGAACATTTTACACACAGCAAACGGTCCCTCGGTGACTGTAAAGGTCAATGAATGTGAAGTCTCACGTAATTTCTAGTTCGTTAAGCAGCATTATCACCTTCTGAGAAACAGAGTCGTGAGTGAGAGTGCCTGTTTGGACTTAACGATAATTTCAGGGAACGAGCAAATCCCAAAAGAGAGCTATGAAATATTCAAAGCAACCTACTACTGCAGTGTCTGTGGCTGGAGATAAACTCGCCAAATGTGGGCTGTGACCATGCCAACAAGTCCAGAGGCTCTTCTGTCACTGCCATTAATAAAACATTAGCCTAGAAGGCACACTTTCTGTGGGAAGTAGGCAAACCTATGTCACCTATGAATCCAGGTCTGTCAATGATGTTCAAGTTTTCCAAAGTGTGTGTGTGTGTTGAGGAATTTTGGAATTGAAAACAAAGAACAGAGATGAGTGCCAGAAATGAAGCTTTGAAAACCTGAAGTGTGGGGGTGAAACTTGATTTTAGCAAGTTTTAATGCTGTTTGGGCCTGGAAGTAATTACTTTCCCAAAGAAAATATGTTAGGAACTGCATCCCTGATGGTGCACCTAACAAACGTAATTAGAAATCAAACACAAAACATTTAGCCAACATGTTCTTCAATGACTTTGCTTTCAGGAAAATTGAGTGTAACAGTGAATTCTGTCTCTCAAAACAAGTTTATATTAAACAGTCTGTAGTTCAACCAGCCTCATGAATGCACATTCATCTTCATCAGTCAGTCAGGCTTGTTGGCATATTGGCAGCTGACATTGCAGGAATTAAATCTATTCTATTTTCATACCCTTTCTCCTGTTAAAAGCCCTGTTCATTCTGCAGAGTTTGAGAAGTGCCTGTGTGGTGAGGACGGACTCCAATGAGAAACCACCTGCAGAAAAAACACAGAGGAACAGAATGATTGTGAAAAAGCGGTGTTATTATCAATGAAATGATCACTGTCAAAGGGTTTTTGATTTCGTCAATAACAATATATATATATACTGTACAAAAGTCTTAGGCACATTAGTATTTTCACCCCTCATAAATGGGTTTAAGTCAGTTATTTATATCTTTTGCTGTAGTGTGTCAGTAAGAAATATCAATTTACATTTTCAAAAATTCATTTTGCCATTAATTGTAATAATCAGTGAGATTTTTGTATGCACAAGGAGTCTGACAACAGCTGGTATGCTCCGCACGAAGATGATAGATCTCACATAATCAAGTCCATCAGTGATTACATGAAGAAACAGAAAAAACGGAGTCAGACTAAATCCAGAAGAACTGTGCCAACGTCTACAAGACGCTTAAGTGAAACCTACCTGCAAATCTACAGTAGGCCTACTGTGAAAAGTTTTAGGCACTTGTGTAAAAATGCTGTAAAGTGAGGATTCTTTCAAATATAGTGCCAGAAAGACTGTAGATTTTATTTATCAATAAACTGGCATAAACTAAATAAAATCAATATTTGGTGTGACCACCTTTGCCTTTAAAACAGCTTTGGTCCTACGTGCACTTGAACATACACTCACCGGCCACTTTATTAGGTACACCTGTCCAACTGCTCGTTAACACTTAATTTCTAAGCAGCCAATCACATGGCGGCAACTCAGTGCATTTAGGCATGTAGACATGGTCAAGACAATCTCCTGCAGTTCAAACCGAGCATCAGTATGGGGAAGAAAGGTGATTTGAGTGACTTTGAACGTGGCATGATTGTTGGTGCCAGAAGGGCTGGTCTGAGTATTTCAGAAACTGCTAATCTACTGGGATTTTCACGCACAACCATCTCTAGGGTTTACAGAGAATGGTCCGAAAAAGAAAAAACATCCAGTGAGCAGCAGTTCTGTGGGCGGAAATGCCTTGTTGATGCCAGAGGTCAGAGGAGAATGGCCAGACTGGTTCGAGCTGATAGAAGGGCAACAGTGACTCAAATAACCACCCGTTACAACCAAGGTGGGCAGAAGAGCATCTCTGAACGCACAGTACGTCGAACTTTGAGGCAGATGGGCTACAACAGCAGAAGACCCCACCGGGTACCACTCATCTCCACTACAAATAGGAAAAAGAGGCTACAATTTGCAAGAGCTCACCAAAATTGGACAGTTGAAGACTGGAAAAATGTTGCCTGGTCTGATGAGTCTCGATTTCTGTTGAGACATTCAGATGGTAGAGTCAGAATTTGGCGTAAACAGAATGAGAACATGGATCCATCATGCCTTGTTACCACTGAGCAGGCTGGTGGTGGTGGTGTAATGGTGTGGGGGATGTTTTCTTGGCACACTTTAGGCCCCTTAGTGCCAATTGGGCATCGTTTAAATGCCACGGCCTACCTGAGCATTGTTTCTGACCATGTCCATCCCTTTATGGCCACCATGTACCCATCCTCTGATGGCTACTTCCAGCAGGATAATGCACCATGGCACAAAGCTCGAATCATTTCAAATTGGTTTTCTTGAACATGACAATGAGTTCACTGTACTAAAATGGCCTCCACAGTCACCAGATCTCAATCCAATAGAGCATCTTTGGGATGTGGTGGAACGGGAGATTCGCATCATGGATGTGCAGCCGACAAATCTGCGGCAACTGTGTGATGCCATCATGTCAATATGGACCAAACTCCCTGAGGAATGCTTCCAGCACCTTGTTGAATCTATGCCACGAAGAATTGAGGCAGTTCTGAAGGCAAAAGGGGGTCCAACCCGTTACTAGCATGGGGTACCTAATAAAGTGGCCGGTGAGTGTATTTTTTAAGGTAGTTTTGCAGGTTTAAATGGCTGATACTTCCTGATATTTCCTACTGACATATATATATCTCCAAAATGAATATTACAATTTACATCTGCACAGACAATGAAGAATGTACAGGGGAACATAAATATATAGTATACATTTGTTGTTTATTAAGTCAAAGTAAATTTTACTAAAATAATAAATGTGACAATGAAATATTGACTACATTTAAAGAACAAAAGAGGAAATATATAAATATATATATATATATATAAAGAATAAAATTAAAGTCATGGTCACTAGATTTTGGATTTGAATTTCATTGGACACTGCAACAAACAAACCTGAATGTCATGTCATGCTTCTTTTTAGAATAAATAAAGACCAATACACACTGAACCAACAGAGGGTGACCAACATGGACAATCACCAGATTATAGTACGTCACTTCTCAGACATTCCACAACCACACAAATGAACGCTGACCAATGCGACAGATGGCGACGGGTAACACACTGATCAGACAAAACCTGATGAAGTGTCTGCAATTTGGTCGGCGTCTGTTACTGCAGTGTGAATGAATTGGCCTTAATATGTCACAAATAATAATTAAAAAATAATAAATTCTTTGTAAAAATATACCATCAACAATCAGTTTGTGTTCTTTGAATTCAGCCAAGAGGTCTGTGATGTTTACTGTGAATCCACTATTGGTCGTCATTTAAATTCACAAGTCAAAGTTCATCAAACTTGAACTTTTCATATAACTTTCAACACTTATCTGCAAGGTTGTAGTTTATGTTTACACTATGGCAAGTAAATACAAGGGCCATTTACACTACACCGTTTTCAAATAAAAACTGAAAACTTTTTATACTTTTTGGCCGTTCATTTATACGACAACAGCGTTTTAGGGGCCTGAAAACGGCAACTTTTGAAAACGGGTTTTAAAGTGCAAGTTTTTTAAACAAAATTATACCGTTATTGTCTTAGTTTAAAGTACAAAAATGTGAATTTGTGAAAATGGTGACGTCATGCGCATGCGTATTACGTGGATATTACAGTCTATAGGTGCTTAGTGTTTCTTTACAAAGTGACATCGCCAACTACTGGTCTGGCACGCATAATACAGCATTTTTAATAGTTTTCACAGATCCGTGTGAACGGGGATCATTTTGACAACGTTGTCGTCTCTACGCGAAAGCGCAAACGAAAAACGTTGCTGTCGTGTTAACGTTCCCTTAGTGCCCGTCAATAGCCTGGATGCCAGCCGAACTTAGCCCCGCCCACAACATTTGAGGATGGGAAGTTCGTTCTGGACTTGATCCGTTGTGAAGCAAGTATGCCCGAACCAAAGCTGTTCGGACCAATCAAATTGTCAGGGCGGGCTTTATACGATGATGGACAGATGATCAACCGTAAAGCAATCATCCACGTCACCAAAGAGCGCTTGGGTTGAATTCGTTTACAACAAAGAATGGCTGCCGTTGGAGAATTTAGATGTGTAGATTCAGCCATCGCGTCTGTTATAGAAGATCTATACAGCACATTCATTTTAAAAGAGGAACAGAGAACTGCGATCAAGGCATTTGTCGATCGGAAAGATGTTTTTGCCGTCCTTCCTACGAGATTCGGTCGATCCAATTGAGTGCAGAGGCATTTTTTTTCCTGGTTTGGTTGAAACACGCCCCATAATCACAGCCCAATGGAGCAGTATCAGACTCACATTCTGACTAGAATCTGAGTATGACGACGTCAGGCTAGCCCGTCAGTGATCATGGTAGAACTATATGCCCTGAGGAGGTTGTGGATTAAATCAGAGGTAGGGACGTAGGGTGATGCAGCAGGTACTGAGTTGCTGAGATAACAAACCTGCAATTACCATTGCACCCCTGAGCAAGACACTTAACCCCAGTGAAAGTTTGCTGCAGCTACTCTCTCGCCAATTAGAGTGGTAAATGTCACTTACACTTTGAGTGTTGAATGACAATCCTGTGCAAAGTGACTAAAAATATTTTACATCTGTTTAAAAGTATCCTGGCATAGTTTGCTCAAACAGGATTTCTGTGGTTCAGTATATAGCCACCCTTAGTCATATAGGTGGTATCAATTCCTACTTTTGCTGTGAAGTGTTTGGTTGATGTTGAGTTGATGAGTGAGATGACATAGAAATACACAAGATCAAAGCCTCAAAGAAATGTTGGAGGCTGAGGATGTCAAAAACACTGAACCAAACACATTCAATATCAAAAAGTAAATTCCTAAGGGCCGGTCCTTTTGCAATAGAACAAACACACCTCAGAGACACCACGCAATTGACGTACTGCAAACACAGTGTAAAATCTCACCTTGTTGCCATGCAATACACATTGGGCCCTATTTTAACGATCTGAAACGCAAGTGTCAAAGCGTAAAGCGCAAGTAACTTTGTGGGCGGATCCCGGCGCTGTTGCTATTTTCCCGGCGGGATAAATGCCTCTTGCGCCTGGCGCAAATCTAAAAGGGGTTGGCCTGAAGTAGCTTCATTATTCATAGGTGTGGTTTGGGCGTAACGTGAAATAAACCAATCAGAGCGTCATCTCACATTCCCTTTAAGAGCAGGTGCGCTTGTTCTAAAGCGGATTCCTATTATAACGGCGGATTTGCCAGGCGCGCGCCAGGAGCGGTTCACAGCCGAGGAGAGCAACATTCTCGTCAGGGCCGTAAAACACACAGAAGTGACATTGGGGATGGAGAAACCCACCCAAATTAACTTCTGTTAAACAGGCGTATGATAATTTGGGTAAATGTGTAAGCTACATGCTTTTATAATAAATTGTCTATCTATCTATCTATCTATCTATCTATCTATCTATCTATCTATCTATCTATCTATCTATCTATCTATCTATCTATCTATCTATCTATCTATCTATCTATCTATCTATATATCTATCTATCTATCTATCGTAATAATGTATGATTTGCAAAAATGAAAACTGCTGCTTAGATGAGAGAATCAACGTGTATGCGCGTTGTGCACACGCTACATTGATTATGGCCAAATATGCGCCCTTAAAATAGCATAATGAACAACGCGCAACGCGCCACTGACTTTAGACTAGTTTTTTTCTGGTCAGTGGCGCAATTGTTTTATAGAACAGCAAAATAGCA